TTTTGGACTTCAAAAAAGATTGCAAGCAAGATGAGTTCCCAAATAGTAGCCTAGTTCAGACATTCTACGTACCTGTGAGTCGCGGATAAGTCCATGAAGATATACATAAGAAAATGGAACAGTTCCCGTGAATTCAATTCCCATCATAACCATTCTTGCGACCCAAAAGAACAATATATCATGCCTGTCAAGAAAAAAGTATTAATGCCACAATCAAAACATAGCAAAGTAGACTAATTGGAAATTCCTTAGACCTACTATGCTATAAAGCCATATAATCAGTTATCAAATAATGTAAAAGAAGCATTCTCTTATACAAATGAATAGGGCACAGCATCTAAGCAATAGGAGATAACCGGAGCGGTTCATACCCAGTTTCAAGCATTGTTGTTGGATAAAACCTTCTAAAATCCTCTGCTGACACATCCGGCCACCCAAGAGTACTGAAAGGCCATAGTGCACTGAAAAGAGATGTAAACAGGTCAGGTATAGTCAAAATAAATAGCATTTATCACACAAACCAAGATTGATGTGTGCATGACAAGTTTCATGTCCAGATTATGGAAGAACCCTTATCCAAGCCTTCAAAAGATAGGTGAAGTAAAATTTAAAACCTTGAGCTGAACAATATTGCTGAAAAAATTGAAACCTATCCAAATTGCTATCTCATTGCATTACTTAAAAAGCCCAGTGGGTGAATTCATATAGCGTGGCACAGAACTAAGTGATTTCAGACACCACACACAAACTAATTTCAAAAAATCAACTTAGTTACCATAATAATTTTACACCAAAGAATTAAGACAAAAAAATATTTGGACTCAAAACCTTGGAGCTCTCATACAACCTTTAGAACTTTCCTACTAGGAACTAATACTTCAGGATTTAGGCGAAATTTCCACTTACACATTGAAGGGACAGGAACTCCGATCACTGCCAGAGAATTCAAGACCAATACAATTATGCAAGTTAAGTGAGAATATGAATATGATAGCTTCATATGGATGAAAATTTCAGAAAACTAGTTTTCTTTAACTTGATCTGAAACATATTTCATCCTTTTTTCAATTGGAGGTACTGCAAGTAGATCATTTAGCACAGTTTTTCACATCAAATCAAAAGTTCATTTCAGGAAGAAAACAAAATTGTAATGTACTCATATGATTGATAGTTTGAAATCATGAATGCATCATCTAAGTACAGTGTTTAAATAATGCTCAAGATTACGTTTGAAACACCATCTCAGGTTTAATGCAACTGTTTATTTGAAGGTCCTTATAGACTTGAAAAGGTGATAACAGAAATAAACACAACTTATAAGAAAGTAAAACCAAAGCGAACGCAAATATAGAATTGACAAAGACTGGTTTTTGGACTATGAATTCATAATCTCGTGAGCTCTAGTTTTTAATATAATATTCCAATTAGATTTTCTTAGGAACAAAAAAGTTTAAGAGGGAGAAAACTAAAATAAAAAACAGTTTTACATCCTAAAGAGAAGATATCACAGTTATGGAGTAAAAAGAATTGAATAATAAACCTTGAGAACCAAGTGTCAAGAACATCTGGATCCTGATATATTTCTACATCTTTTCCATATTTATCACGAGCCTTTATAAGTGCTTCCTCAGCACTCCTAGCAACTATATATTCCTCTTCACAGTCTTTTCCAACAATGTACCAAACAGGTATGCGGTGTCCCCACCACAGCTGTCTGCTTATGCACCAATCCTTTATATTTGATAGCCAATGATTATAAATCTGCAATCAAAATAAAAAGGATAAGCAAAGGAACATAGTACCCAACAGAAGTAACCTCAAAAGCAAAATAGAGATTAACAGGCAGATGGGATCCAGATGATAGTGGCACCTGCCGAGGCGTATAGAACAATCAAGAATGACTAAATGAGGCCATCCTCTCAGTGAGGGAGAGAGATGTCACTAGGTGGAGAATGACTATATGGTATCATCGTCGGACATAGTTATGTGCCCAAGCTAAGTATGTCAATCTTTTCCCAAATTGTTCCTCGTGCTTAAAGGACCAAACCTCATAACCATGCCCACTTTGAGATGTTGATATAAGCATCAAACACAGGTACTTTAGGAAAAATGAAAAAATAGAGCAACATAGGTTTCAGGAAACTGATGATAGGTAAGTAGACTTGGAGTCAACATCAAAGAATTATGCTTTCTATCATACCTTCTCAAATCTTTCAGGCATAATGGTCAGTTCTCCCTTTTCAACTGCACGAAGGGCCTTTTCAGCCAAGGGCTCCATTGTTACAAACCATTGCTTGCTTACTAATGGCTCTATTACCTAATAAAGGAAACAGGACACAAAAGGGAACAATATTAGAAAGAATTACCGATAGAGGAAGTAGCAACACCTCAACTTCCAAAGAAAAAAGGATATAATTGAAAGACAATATGCACACCTCTCCACCACGCTGGGATCTTGGTACTCGTAAAGTGTAAGGTTCCTTTTTCACAGCTAAGTCAGTCTCCTCAAGTTCGGACCACAATTTCTTCCGTGCCTCAAACCGATCAAGACCACTAAAAATTCAACAGCCACCACCATAAGTTAGGCCAAAGAGAAGGCACCTTTAATTTAGTATTTTTTCAGAAAGTCCTATACAAATGTTACCAGTACAGTCCGGCAACCTCATTTAGTGTTCCATCCTTGTTCATAACATTAAGAATTGGAAGACCAAGCTTTCTAGCTAGAAGATAATCATTATGATCATGGCCAGGGCTTATCTTCAGCACACCTGTCCCAAAGTCTTTATCAACAAACTGCCACCATTGACATAATCAAAAAAGAAGAAGTGAGATCATTAATCTAAAATTTTTTTATTTAATGGATACAATTGAAACATTTGCCACCGCCACCAACCCCACAAAAAGAGATAATAAAGAAGGTAAAACCAAAAATAAATTGTTACCTAACAAACATATTGTACCTTCAATGTTTTACAAGGAAGTACAACCAGAAGGAGAGGGTATACTATCAATTTAAAAATTGGCTTAAATAGACTCCAAATTGCACCACACATTTGACGAACCAAATGATACAATTTTATTATGCTATGCCAATTAAGTTTCACGCGCATGACTCCACTCTTTATTCTCAAATGTTTTCCTGTTGAATTATCATTTTTCATCTGTAGTCTCTCAATTACTAGAATTAAAACCTTTTATTCTTTAATAGCTTGAATCTCATCAATGTTTAAGCTTCTATAAGACATACTTCACATCTATATGATTCTTTTCATTAACATAGTTCTTTTTTAGTTATAATTTACTATTCATTTCATTTTAATCGAAAATGAAAAATCAAAAGCCTTACACTTTGCCTCGCTTACACTTTTGCCATACCAAAGCTTTGACAGACTATGCAATGAGAACAAATGACAGAGAGAGATTCAACAACGGGAAACAACCAAATGCATTTTCATGTATCTGGAAATCAGAATAGACATTGATGATGCGTGAAAGGACTTAAGCTTAAAGAAGACTTAAATCTAGGTTTGGAGCACCAGGTCATTAAATCATTGCCAATTAAGGTTCTATGAAGCAAGGTCCTAGAGGAATATAAATAACGCCCTACAGACAAAGTACTAAGTTTACAATACTTATGAAACTCTTTCAATGTTTTACATCCTCATTACTGCTTCACATGATTAGGATACACGTTTAGGTTATAAATAATGATGCAGATATATTCAAGGTTAAAATACTAAGATTAAGAGGGAATGCCTTGGGCTCCCTGCTTTAGCAATCAACACTGACAAACCTTCATTTAGCCACACCACAACCCCCGCCACCCCCCCAAAAAGAAACCAACTTAGAAATTTCATTTAAATTCCTGAGTCACATACATTCCCACCAATTTGATTCACGAAGATTAAGGGCAAATTATTACACTAATGCAACAATTGGTGAATGAAACAATATTAAGAAAAACAACAACAGGTTTTTACCTTATCAGATATAATGGGAACATGACGACCATATGTCATAGGAACAATTGCCATTTGACCAACATACTTGGAATATCGCTCATCCTGCAGAAAAAAATGAAAAAATATGGAATCAATGTAATGTGTCACTCATAAAAGGACAGAGTTGTGAGTTATCACTTAACGTGCAAGTTTTGTTGGCTAGCCTATAGCCTTATTCGTGGTTTGTTCCAAGAAAGGCAGGATGAGTGGGTGAAAGGAATGGAAGAATACTTATGTAACCAATCATTGGGGCAAGAAAAAAAGACCACAATGTTTTTCACTTAAAAGAAAGAGCTTTTTCCATGTTGCAATCAAAGATTATTCAGTTGATTCATTTTTGGTTATGTTGCTTAAGTTAACCACCATGTTTGTCTTTTTTTTCCTCTTTCCAGATAATTTATGTATGTCATTTAGTTAAATTGAACACTAAACATTAAAAGAAAGAGCATTTTCAAGTTAACCGACCACTGGTGGTTATCCAAGTTAACCACTATGTTTATCATTAAAAGAAAGAGCTTTTTCCAAGTTAATCAATCATTGGTGCTTTTATCCATGTGACATCCTATAAAATGTCCAAGGGAAAACTGAAAAGTAATGAGTGCCTGAAGAATTTTCTTAAATCATACAAGCAGTGAAAAGCATTTTCTATTTATTAAAACAACCGTAACTTTCTATTTATTCAATGAAAAGACCTATCATATTAATAATTCCTCACCCAAAAGCCTTTCTTCAGGCCATTAGATAGCGGGCTTTACTTCTTAATAGATGCACCCAGTCATTGGATAAAGATAATTGTTAGGTACACTAAAAAATTTACTCAAAAATAAATGAAATAAACTGGAAATATTAAATTAAAATTTTCTATAGGATTTATGACTATTGCAATGAAAATATATAATGCCGGTCGTGAACTTGCATTTCATAAGGAATATAATAATTCAACAGTATCTAGTTTAATAATCTTAAAGCAAGATAATTATCAAATTAGATCATTTCACATAGAGGTGAGAAGGCATGTTTACAGAAAGTAAAATTAGAGGACCATGTCAATTACCAGAAGTAATTACCAAGCATCTGGCCATCCATCTCTTAACTATTACTTCAATAAAAATAAAGGTGCTATACCTGAGGATGCACAGCAATAGCTACATCACCAAACAAAGTTTCAGGCCGCGTCGTTGCTATTGTCAAGAAATCACTCCTATACAGAGAACATATATAAAGTATCAGTCATAATATGTGGCAATTCCAGACAGAGATGCATGTTGATCTAATTGAGGACATTTAAGATTTATGTATATATGAATGAAGCATACGTAAACTTTATACCATACAATCTCCAATAAAAATCATGCATGTTTAAGTACAATTAAATTCTCTACTTGCACATTTCAATAAGAATAAAAACTTTGGAGCTCGCAAGGTAACATCATATTCCCTGCCTTCTCTTACTACTGTATCTTTTACTCATGCAATTTTGAATCTAATTTTGCTGTCTTACTACATTTTCTCCTTTCAGTTACTCAAGTCCCTTCATGTTCCAGAAAAAGTAAAGCACACACGTATCAAAGTACTTAATATAGCAAGTGACTATCTAGTGAATACCTTGAACCTCCAGCAACTCGATACTTAATATAATATAGGGTACCAGGCTCTTCAGAATATTCTACTTCCTAAGCAAAAAAGCCAAAAGATAATGTTAAATGATGAAGAATTTAACTCAAATGCAGAACAATAAGCAATATCCCCATGAAATGATGAAACATTCATACCAAGTCTGAAACAGCCGTCTGTAACTTGGGAGACCAGTTAACCATGTAAGACCCTATAAGAAAAGATCAAATAGTTAAACAACAGTGGCAATTAATTAGGTTACGTAGACTAGAATTGTACAATAAACAATCAGTTAAAATCAGAAAAATCCGAGCTGAGCTGTATAATTGAATAAGTAATAAAATTAACCAAAAAACAAAGACTCCTACCACCAAGCATCAGAGAATCAATTTAATTGTCACCATGAAAAATAACTGTTCCCAAAAGGGAGCTTCTAAATTTAAAACCCCCTTCCCTTCTGTCTTGTTACTAAGCTATTTCCAGAGCAGAAATTCTACATGTGTTTTGAACAAATATGGATGTACAGACATGTCTATCTACATCAATTCCATGTCAGCCAAGTGTGACCAGTCAATGTCTCAATGAACAAGACCTGGAACAGAGGTCAAACAGAAGATAGGTGCTCCTCAAATAATGCATTCCAAGGCGAAAAGATATAGAAAATCATTCTTAAAAGCTAATATTAGTCTTTCTTTGTTGTTTTCCACTTGATTTTATAATTTCTTTTAGCTTTGGGTGAGGGGAAAGATGCAATCAAAATTTTCTTCTTTCTCCCTATTATATTATTAGGATCAAATGTTAAAATAAGCTGAAAATAAACATATTAAAAGACTTTGTTCACATACTATTGCTTTCAGTGAGCAAAGTTCAAAGTGTTAGTTTTCAATGGAATTTAGGCATATACCTTGATAGATTAAACCTTTTTCATGGAGTTTAACAAACGCCTCAACAACAGCTCCTGCAATAGGAAGGCAAGGTTCAGAATACATAACCTAACAAATAAACCTAGCCTACTACCATTTGAACAAATGTAAGCGCTTTATATTATTGTTGTTATTATTATTTTACAACAAGAACAACAACAACAACCACTACTAGTCCTATATTCTCACCGTACATGTGATGCAAAGATTTCAAATTATGTAACAAATAATAGTAAACAGGTTGAGGATTGTTAACTTTACACATAATTTTAAAAGACTTTGTAGACTGGCTACATTCCACTTCTACTAGATAGAAAACTGGTCTTACGACTTAGCTGCTCATCAAGGGTGAACCTTTCTCTAGTCCAATCACAAGAAGCCCCAAGTCTTTTAATCTGATTTGTAATGGTCCCACCATACCTGGAAATACACAATCCAGTAATAACAAAAAAAGAGAAGAAATAAATAAAAGACAGAACAAAGTAGTACCTAAACCAATGCAACCTTAATGGTCAAATGTGAAAAGGCAACTGGCAAAAGCAAGAAAATTCCATAATTATCAGTGTTTGAAAAAAGAAGAACTATAGATTTGATTCAGAGGTATAAGTTGTGTACAAACCCCCCCCCCCACCCCCCCCCCCCAAAAAAAAAAAAAAACTAAAAAAAGAAAGAAAATAACAAAATAACATGAAGGATATGCACAAAGTTACAGCATTCAACATCAGGAAAAAACAGCATAGAGAACCAAGTATGGAAGTAATTTAAGGAAACTATACTTCTCTTCCACTCCCAAACTCGTTTTGCAAATTCATCTCTGCCCAGTTTCTACCCTTTTTATTCCTTCAGATGCCAACATTCTTTCCACAACCAACTGGGAAAAGAAGGTAAAATAGCTTCAATAATTTTTTTTTAATTCAACAGGATACAACTCATTTGCTACATGGAACATTATGTATATTGAGGGCAGTGAATGCAAAGAATATAAATCCATACTAAAAATGAAAATAAAATTTTACAGAGAAGAAATTAAAAAACAAAATATGATCCTAATGATTAAATCATTCGCAGAAATATTACATAAGTAAAGAATGGTCAAATAAAAGTGCTTAATCCTCACAGGGGTTGATAAAATATTCCAAAATATGTCTCTGTTTTTTTTTTTCCTATTTTTAGGGATCACTAATGCAGAAAGCATGATCATCTATAGACTAACCTGAGTCGCAATACCAGCATGATCAGTCCCAGGAAGCCAAAGTGTTGGTCTTCCCCTCATGCGATGGTACCTAACCATGATATCCTAAAAAAGACCACCAAAGAAGACAAATACAGAAAATAAGCATGGCAAAGCCAATAAAAATAATACCACTAAAACATAAAATATTTGTAATGTCTAAAAAATACAGGTTAGAATCTGCTAGAATCAGAAGGATCCTTGGATCTTGATATCTCATCCTCCTCCAAAACTTCATCTCGTTGCATCCTAACACCACTACCCCCATCCAATAAAGGGGAACATCATTCTTTTCACTAAGAAAACCATGTTCTGAGGATAAGAAATTACTTTGACCACCGTAGACTCAAATGCCACCATGAATTAAATCACAGTTATTGAACATGTTACATGAAACATCCTTCTGTGTGAGATGCAATGCTCACATGTAATTATCTGCACTATTAAAGTTTATAAAAGATTCAGAAAACCAAAAACATTGTATCAATATGAATCCTACATGTATAAAACCTCTAGTGAAACAAGTAACAAATGCTAATTAAGGTCCCTTTTGAAGCATCTTAAAATCATTTTCACAACCTCAAGAGTCACAAACATTGCATGTCCCATGTGCAGAGAACCAGTAACGTTAGGCGGAGGCATTGATATGACAAAAGGATCACTTCCCCGGTCAAATTTTGGCCTCAAATACCCTTGAGACTGCCACCTGACATCCAAGAATTACATAAAAACATCATCTCAATAGAAACATATGTTAACAAGGTCTGCTACAAGTAATGCACAGAACCATATCTAAATGAGGTCATTCCACCTTCCAAAGCCTGTATGCAACAGTTTCACAAGAAACCTTTTAAACAGTTAGTTCAGAACCAAACAACAGTAGCTCAAAAATGCATCAACAGACATATCCCTTCACAGTAAAATAAATAAATAATACAATCCTTAGGGCTTAGAAAACATACATAGAAAACTATAGTCACAAGTGAATAAGGGTTTTTCCTTATCATGAGATAGACAAGCAACCAAAAGTAAGAAGTTAGACTAAGAGATAATATTATTAAAATAGCTTCCTCCCTTGATTACTATGAGACACATCCCATAATAGCCCCAAATGAACCTAAGTAAAGCTCATAAGTTGCATTCTATCACTTACATTTTAACTTCATTAAGATGAACATATTTATTGCATCAAAGATATGGACTAATCAACATAAAACCTAAAAAATTCAATTTTAAAAAATAGAATCGATAATAAAAAAAGAGTCAAAATAAAAAACAAATTATCTGATTCAAGAAAAAAATACCAATTGTATATCCGCTCCTCTGAAGTAAAATCAAAAGACTTTGCTAACTCTGGAGAAGTGAAAACGCCATTCTCTGATGCAACAACTGAAAAGGCAACAAGAAATTGCATACATAAGCGACTCAAAAAATTACCCTCCACAACGAATATACTAAGATTTTACAAACATTCATCTCCTAATTTCATCCACTAAGGCCATTTGATTATTACTTTTAGTAGCTTTTTCCTTGCTCAAAAGTTACTAAAAAGTAAAAGAAAATAGCAAAATGCATAATTATATCATATTACATGAAAAATGAGCAGTTAAACTAATATGCACAACACATTCAGACGTAAGTTTTCCCTTTAAAAGTAAAACACTGCATTCCCTTGCACAAAAACTTTTAACTATTTTTCTCATATTATAGGGTTTCTGCCCTCTGAATTCATCCAAATTTTCACGAAACTTGCCTTTTCAAGTTCATTTTTCTACTCTGAATTTTCTAAGGATACAAATAGAAACTAAGAAAAAAAAAAACGAAAAACAATTGCAGAAAATGCTACACTATTCGAGTTCATTTTCTTACGCTGAATTTTCTAAGGAAACAAACAGAAACTAACTGGAGAACATAGACTCTTTAATTTTAATTTTCCTCCACTTTCTCAGCAACGAAAAAGAAAAGAGCCAGATAACAAAGTGAAGAAAAACTTTTTTTTTTACCAGCAAAGCTCCGACGCTTTATCGAACTGAAACCAGACAGAGAGAGAGGAAAGCAAAAACGGCGATGTTTGGCAAAGAGAAGAGGGTTGAGGGTGTAAGCAGAGCGAGAAGATAAAAGAAAAGGAGGAGAGAGAGCCATTTGGTGGAGACTCATTTCTCAAAGAAGAGTGATTTTCCTTTTTTTAAAGAGCCTTTTAATATATTTTTGTATTTCCTGGCGGGGTTTTAGCTTTCACCTGCTTCGAGTTGAAGCCTTCTACTGATATGTAAGGATAATAGAAAATTAGGGACGATGGAGATCGACATGTGGATATAGAAAGAAAATTTATGTAATAAAAAAAAGGCATACATTTTTTTAAAGAAAAAAATACTAAAATTTGTTAAAATAAATATTTTAGTAAAATTGTTTTAATGTTGTATATATATTATTAATTATTAGAAAATATTTTTTATTAATAAATAGAGTATTCTTTTCTTTTTAGAGTAGAACTTTTATGAAACAATAAATATAACGAAAATATTACACAATTGAGTAGTATTAAATGTTAGATTTCATTTTCATAAGACATTTGTTAGATGGTTAAGTAAATATAGAATTGTAGAGTCTAAAATTTTTAAAATATTTTATATATTATATATTTTAAATATTAACTTATATTATGAGAATATAATAAAAAAGTATTAATACACTTTTTATGTTGCTCAAAGATTAGTGGAAATAGGAAAGTTAAGAAATTATTACTTGATTGATAGATTAATTCATCTTGTTTTAATTTTTTCAATTTTTATAGTAACTACAGAAAGAACACTTTTCAAAAATAAAAATTATAAAAACAAAACTTTAAAATAAAATAAATAATGAGTTTTTTGTAAATAATTTAATTGTTTATATTTAAAAAAATCTTGTTAACTTTTTCAATACAAAATCAATAATTGATAAATTGGAACTCAAGAAATATTGTCGAGCATAATTTTTTTAAAAAATTATTATAATTTTTTTTATTACATGTTATATAAAATTATTATATATTATAAATTTTTTATTATTAATTAAATTCAATATATTAATTTTATAAATTTTGTGACAGGAATATAATCTTTTTACCTGCTTTGGGTTATTAAATTTAAATTTGAATCTTTTATAATTAAAATGATATATATTTATTATTGAATCAAATGTTAATATATTCAAATATTGGATTAATCAACTATGGCTTACTATAAGCAAGGGCTTTAAATTTAATTCGCTGGTATTATATAGTTTTTTTCAATAAATGCAAAAGGCCCAAACGTATGGTAAGTTTTTCCAAAAAAAAGTAAAAATGACAATGCGTAATAATTTGTACACTTATTACCATTTATTACAGCCATAAAAATATTCATCAATATATGGTAAGATTGACAAAAAAAAGGAAACTGAAAATTGGAATTTGAATTTTTAAAAATTCTTAAAAAACATTTATGGGTTCAATTCCTCTTCGTAATTTTTGGAAAAATATTTGATGTATTGATAATATATCAAATATTAATTCTTATCTTTGACTTTTCATTGTTACCATTTATGTATAAAAAATCTACTATCAATAATTTTGTCTCATAAATATAAGTGACAGATCATATGTATCTTATCAATTACAAAAATTTCAATCTAAAAAATTATTACATTACGTTATTACATGTACCACTAATCAAAATATATACAACACGTAATTAAAATATATCATTTCAACATACATTTGTCTACGATTTTGCATTAATGCGAAAAATTTATAGTTATAAACGTGTGCAAATAAGTCAGGGGAATAGGTGATTAATAATATCTTAAACAAAATTATAGGCCAGATAAATAATCAATGAAGGTTAGGTAGGTCTAGTTGGCTCCAGCAAAGGTCATTAAAATGTTACTAAACCAGTGTAAATTGCCTTGCTTATCTCACATCAGCAGAGTACATAAATAGTAGAAGATCCTTTTTGTAAATTACCAAATAACAAATACTAGCACTTGGATGAGGCTACAGTCCAATTTCACACCCAGAAGGAAGCCATTGGTATTCAAAGTAGCATCTAATTTCCATCATCCTCTTCAAAATAAGTACAAATAAGCTTAGCAGCTGCCTACATTAACACCGAAAAAACAAAAGCATTTCACCAAACCCATTTCCAATGGCCTTCTCTGCAATCATCCCAAGTCATAAAACCTCTTCTGTCATCAAAATCTCCACTGAAGATCCTGTGAAGTTTACCCCATTTTCGCAGATCAAGGTTGTTCCCGGGAAAATTCAGGCTAGCCAGATTGCAAACTCATCTTTACCTCGAGCATTCGTATCCAAAGACTGGATGTCCAACTCTGACCCATTGCCTGCGTTTAACCTCGACGAGTACATGGTGGACAAGGGACAACGAGTGAACAAAGCACTTATTAAGGCAGTCCCTTTGAAACATCCAATGCAAATTCATGAAGCAATGAGGTACTCCCTTCTAGCTGGCGGCAAGCGCGTCCGTCCTATTCTTTGTATTGCTGCATGTGAGTTAGTAGGAGGAGAAGAGACCCTGGCAATGCCAGTGGCTTGCGCAGTGGAGATGATACATACTATGTCACTGATCCATGATGATCTTCCTTGTATGGACAACGATAATCTTCGTCGGGGAAAGCCTACCAACCACAAGGTGTTCGGGGAAGAAACTGCTATTCTCGCTGGTGATGCTCTTCTCTCCCTTGCCTTTGAACATGTAGCTTCAAAGACGACCAAGAATATTTCACCTGACCGAGTGGTTCGAGCCATTGCTGAGCTAGGGTCGGCGGTTGGATCAGAAGGGCTAGTGGGAGGCCAAATAGTGGATCTTGCGAGTGAGGGAAAAGAGATAAGCTTGAATGAGTTAGAGTATATCCATTTGCATAAAACTGCCAAGCTTTTAGAGGCATCCGTTGTTTGTGGTGCTATAATTGGAGGAGGAAATGATGGTGATGTTGTAAGGGTTAGGAATTATGCTAGATCCATAGGGTTGTTGTTTCAGGTTGTGGATGATATTTTGGATGTGACAAAGTCCTCGGAGGAGCTTGGGAAGACGGCAGGGAAGGATTTGGTCAGTAATAAGGCCACTTATCCGAAGCTGATAGGCCTTGACAAGGCCAAGAAGTTTGCAGGGGAGTTGATGACTCAAGCTGTTGAAGAGCTTGCCCATTTTGATCCGGCAAGAGCTGCTCCATTGTTTCATTTAGCCAAATTTATTTGTGATCGAGACAACTAGTCAAGGATTAACTGGTTTCAACTTTTATTGGAGTGACTTTTGGGAGCGTGCTGGATAAATTTTACTTGTATTTCGTTTGCTTAGTTTCAAAATCAAAAGTCTGCATACATATACAATCGGTGCATTAATCAAATAACTATTTTATTAGAGATTAAGAAGAAAGAGGAGGAGGTTCATGTGTTACTTTATATGATTTTTCAAAAATAAAATATCAAATGTTAAAACTTAAATATAAGATAATAGTTAGTCTTTTTCGATCAACTTGAACTTATGAGAAAAGAAATTACTCAACTAAATACGGTATCCAAACTCTCGAGTTAAAATTTTTTTTTAAAAAAAATATTTTTTTATTTATTGATTGAATGCCTTATTATTAGGTCATGCAATGCTTCTCGAATTCTTTTTCAATTTACACATTCTTTTACATTTAGAATCATGATATACAAACTCATTAACCATTCATCCTACTTATACATAAACAAATACGTTAAAATTTATATATATTTAAGATAATAATTAAAAGCTTTTCTAACTATCAATTTTAACTTATGTAGTAATTAATCACCTAACTTATCGTCAAAGTTGTGAGAAAATGCCTAATCAGCTAAATTGAAAATGTTTCATAATCTTTATTTTTTAAAAAAAAAAATTAATCAAGTGTCTCAACATGTAGTTAGAGGGATTGTTTAAAATCTCATAGGAATCTAAAATGTCGCACACTCATCTTATCGTTGAACAAAATTAAAGGGATTGTTTATAGTTATTCTGCTTTATCTGATTGCCACTCTTTGTTATTAAGTTTTCTTTCGATTCTTGAAAAAAAAAAGAAAAAGAAAATGCATGTGAACTGTCCAAGTAATAATTAATTAAAAGTTGATAGCTTGGCAACCACACATTAAAGCAAAAAATCATTTTCCTCGATTCAGGGGTAACGATATATATATATATATATATATATATATATATATATATATATATATATAATGTATGTATCTCATTTAAAATTCATGAACAATGTATAAGTTGTTTTTTTAAGCATGTTTCTAAACCTTGAAAAAAAGTTCAGGCAAGCGCAAGCTGGCAGGATAAACATTTCCAGAACAATAGCCCTTAACCTTTAAGCAACACTAGCCAAGTTGGGTCGGTTTGTTGCATCTTGAATCAACTTCATTAGTTTAACCTCTGAGGCAAGAGATAAAAATAGCTATAAATAGCAGTTGATTCAGGCTACTAGGGGACTTCAATTCATACTAGAAAGAACTAAGCATGGCTAGGGCATTATATATATAAGGCCAAAAAAGTAAAGGTAGGTGTGTTTCAATGGCTCTCTTCAACCAATACCCCAAGTCATGACAATTCAACTAGTCTTGCATTATTACCTCGGAAATGATCATATGCCATTTTGGTAATGTAAAGCTTGTTCGTGGAGTGAATTCAGGCCATGAATTTCGCAAACTTATCTTTCGAACAACCTCTGCTGGCAGAAGACTTGCTCACCATTTCACAAGATAAGCGGCCATTAGTAACATTCCAGTTTGAAGAATACTTGGTGGTGAAGGGAAAACAAGTTAACAACTCACTTAATGAGGCAGTACCCTTACGACACCCGATAAAGATTCACGAGGCAATGAGGTACTCTCTTCTTGCTGGCGGCAAGCGTGTCCGTCCTATTCTTTGTATTGCTTCATGTGAATTAGTAGGAGGAGATGAGTCCTTGGCGATGCCAATGGCCTGCGCTCTGGAGATGATACATACTGCATCTTTGATCCATGATGACCTTCCATGCATGGACAACGATGATCTCAGACGAGGCAAGCCTACAAACCACAAAGTTTTTGGTGAAGCAACTGCAGTTCTTGCTGGTGATGCCCTTCTCTCCCTTGCCTTTGAGCATATTGCTTCCAATACGAGAAATATTTCACCTGACCGAGTGGTTTGCGCTATTGCTGAGCTAAGCACAGCGATAGGGTCCCAAGGGCTTGTGGCAGGACAAATGATGGATCTTGAGAGTGAGGGAAAAGAAGTGAGTTTGAATGAATTAGAGTACATTCATGTGCATAAAACCGCCAAGCTTTTAGAAGCATGTCTAGTTTGTGGTACCATAGTGGGAGGTGGAAACACTGCTGACATTGAAAGGGTTAGAAAGTATGCAAGGTGCATAGGGTTGTTGTTTCAGGTTGTGGATGATATTCTAGACGTGACCAAAGTCCTCTGAGGAGCTTGGGAAGACTGCAGGGAAGGATTTGGTTAGCAATAAGGCAACATATCCCAAGCTGATGGGCATCGACAAGGCCAAGAAGTTTGCCTCTGAGTTGATGATACAAGCTGTTGAAGAGCTTGCCTACTTTGATGCTGCAAGAGCTGCTCCATTGTATCATTTAGCAAACTATATTGCTAATCGAGAAAATTAGGGCAGAAATTTTAGCTGTATTAATTCTTTTTATTTGTTGGAAAATAAAAAAGTTGTGGAGTACAAGTTGTCAAATATATATAAGATATTTTAATTTCACAACTGTAATAAGTACTTTTGTTAATTTTCTGAAGGTGGAAAGGATAAATAAAACTTCGAAATCAGCTACAATGCCAAAACACAAAACCTAAAGTTTTGAAAGGGTGTCAGTTCTCAACCCTTTCTTAAACTCTGCTAATGAAACGGAACTGATAGAACTCATGTGACTTGAACATCAACACTTGCACAACCTAGCTCTTTTCAATCAATTCTTCAAAAGCAATTCTCCTCAGCACGAGCATGAGGGCATAGTTGGCTAGATAACCCGATTTTTGCCATGCTATTTGAGAAACAAACAAACAAACCAGCAAAATAAAGAGGTTTACAGTGTACTTGATAGCTCATCTCAACCAGAAAATAGGTTCGTGGTGTGAGGGAATTTTGAAGTGAAACCAGGGAAGAGAAATCAAAGTTGACTCTAAACAAGGTGGTGGTGAGGATGGAGATAAGGAGTCTAGGCTCAGGGTTGACAAGTGCTCACAGGTATGAATGCCGAGATTTTTAAATAAAGATGTAGTGTCTTTCAAACTCATTATGCTCTGCCGGCTAAAACTTAGTAGTAGCTTTTTGATGCTCTACATATAACTGACAACATTTATTTGATATAAGCTTGAGTTTTGGTCAAAAAATTTCAAGCAAAAAGAATCTCCGAATACAAGCTACGAGAGCACCCAACATTGAAAAAGTTTCAAAATGGCAAGAGTTTTACTTGCCCCCCCACCTCCCCCACCCAAAAAAAAAAAAAAAAAAAAACAGAAGGTTTTTACTGCATTAACAATCCCTCAATCTTGAACAGAAAAAGTTTTATCCTCATGATTTTATGCCACCGATGCATAGAAATTATGATTACTACTCAGGCATCAGAAGGCATTCATTTCTTGAAAAAGTTATAGCATGCAACAAAAATATAAATTGCTTTACATGGAATAAGATATTAACTCTAAGAAGGGGTTTTACATGTTAACTATCTCTGTAAATAAATGTGTACTCTCATCTGATAACAAGCATCACAAAATGAAGTCTTTGATCTCAGTTGCATGCCAAGAAGAGTACCACATCTTGTAATATTTTACCTCATTACATCAAATTTTGGGATAGGGTAGATACCTGATAACTTGTATAAAAATAATATACCTGTATAGCAGAAAGAATTAACCCATTACTTTTGGACGCCAACCAGCAATTACATCATCAGGGCTTGCGCGTGTTTTAACGAATGAATCCATCAAGAAAATTGTCTGTTTATGAGAAATTAAGCATGATCAGGAGCTTAGTTCAATATAGTTCTTGTGTATTTTGAACTGAAGAACTAAATATCATGCATCAGATGAATTGCAAATGTAAGAGCACATTAAGATGTAAGAGGGGGAAAGAAAGAGCAAGAATTGTCATCAATTTTTCTCATATCTGATTCTTCATATACTGTAAGTGTTGGCCACAAAAGTAAAATAACAGACGAGAATTTCAAGCACAAACAACATACCTCCATGTAAAATTTCACATAGGGAAGTGTATCTGGAACAGACCATTTCTTATAATGCCCCAAAGCAATCTCAAGATGATATAACTTAGGTCCCAGAGACAAGTCAGCTGCAGAAATCTTCTCCCCATTGATAAAAGGGCCCTTTAAAGGAAATAAAATAAAAAATCAATTATGCAGCAGGTGACTGAGTTCACCAACCAACTTAACAAAACAAGTTATTTCTAAGTCATCAATGATTGTTATCCCACCATCATAAAAAGAACAGGAAGGTGCAAATCTTAACATGTTTAACGAACCAGATGAATCAGTTATTCACATTACTATTATATTGATCAAATAAAATCTATAAGCTGTTCTGCCAAACCAAAAGCAATTGTGAACCATCCTAAGTAAATCAAGAAAGAGTCCTCACATTTTCTTTAATATAATCATTGAATGAGCTTAGCTCATTAAGCAATGACTGCTCTGTTCCATCAGCGGGGTCTTTGCTTTTAAGAAAACCAATAAATGTAGTGAAAATCTTCGAGCCGCTACAAGAGAAAATCAAATGCTAGGCATAAATTCTGAGTTGATAATTCAAAATTGGTCTTTCAGAATGTTGTTAGAGATGAAGCTCAAAAATGTAAAGCAATTATGAGATAGTCATCCTAAATATCAAATCATGACAATTTCTCTAGAAAACTTGGAATTGCAGCCCTTCTTGATGATAAAATGAAGCCTCAACCACTCCAAAAAAAAAAACCAAAAAACAATTACAACTTTCAATTATTTCTTATAAATGCCAACTGATAGAAATTTATGCACTAATGGCTAAAATGACTCTGACCATGGTGAAAGTATTGTGCATTGTTTATTGATCATTTAGCTGAAAAATCTCTGAATATAAACTTCGTAGTATCTACGCACTAAGACCTGTTTAATACTGTCTTTTCAGGTCTTGAGAATGTGCACACAAATCGCCAAAAGCATAAAATTTTAAATACAAAACAGCTGATGGGCATGAAAATATCCAAATACGCCATCCCAATAATTCACCAGACAACCAACATCGACAAAGTAATGAAGATCTTTTCCTTCACCCTGGCTTAAGAGATAAATTGAGGCTTATTCAAGATATTCTGCAGTCTGCTTCTAACTGATTTTTAGTCAACTTTAAAGTCTTCATAGATATATTTTGTCGATGACTAGTTTCATTATTGTTTCCATAACATTTTAAGCTAAAGAGGCAGCCAACTGAGTTACAGATTTTCTGGAACTGTGCTTCAGGGTCCTAGCTTGATTATTTTTTAGACAATTAATCCTTCATGATGCAGGAGTAATAGTTTTAAAAAACTATAGAAAACAGTACTATAGCAGGCACTGCAAACATCATTGTTCACACAACTGTTTGTTACATAATGCATATGGCAGTGAGCAGAGAGTCCTACACTGATGCTTTTTCCGGCGGGGTTACTAATGGTGGATCAGGGTACTTTTCTTCCAGTGACTGTGTAATGACATCAGAATCAGGAACCCACTTCTCCTCAAGTTTTGCTACCGGAACTTTCCCTTCTGGACTGATTTGTAAGAACCTGAATTTGACCAATGCAGTGGTTAAAATATACGATTTCATTATAAAACTAACAAACTAAATATGATTTAGTGATAAAACAAATGCAAAGTTAAAGTATATGATTTTGTGGTAAAAATAATTATTACCATTCTGGCTTGTTTGCCAAATCTACCAACTTCATGTCATAAGGAAGATGCTTTTCCTCGAAAGTCAGCAATACCCTTTGGCAAAAGGGGCCTGAACCGCCCAACCCCACAAACAGTTAACAATATTCCATGAACAACTCCCAAGCATATCATATTACTCACTTCTAAAGAATCGAATTTTCCTATTTCTCACGTTACAAATTTTATTCCCGATTCCTTTCATACACTTATTATACTCTAAGATTACCTCCTTTTATGAGCTAATTTTGTCGCCAACCTATCACATTACTCTTCTTTTACAGTATCCAATTTAAGAAAGCACAGAGCTTCAATCTTTATGCATTCTATTTCATTGCGAATTTTACAAATTCAATAAAGCCAAAACTAAATATACATAAAATTTATTTCTTGTGCTTTCCAATATGTTCACACTCTTCTCCTTTCAAATTTTCTTAAATATCAAAATATAGTTGAAATTAAAATTAAAAAGTAGCTTAACTCTATTACCAATTAATTTCAGCAAATGCAAGATTACAACAACCTAAAAAGGAAAACAAAAGAATTCAACTAAATTTAAAAAAATTTAACTTTTCTTTTCACTTCAAAATTTGTCAGCATGGCAAACAGATGGACCAGTTGAGTTTAAGTAGAGACTATAAGTTCGAAAAAGAAAAAACAAAAGAAAACCCAAGACAGAGAAAGGGATATTACAGTCGCCGAGTTTGTTGGGAGTGGTGACGGAAGCTTTGACGCAGACTTCGAGAGGAGTCGTGGAAGTGGCCGCCATTGTAACTGCGAAGCTTCGAGAAGTTGTGATTCTGGCTCCGTTATGGCGGCATAGGGCGTGGTTCTGAGGGAAGCGGAGGCCAAAGGCTAAGTGGTACTTGAGTGAACAAGACAGAGCTGAGGCTGTCGACATCATTCTGCCGTGAAAATGGGTTGAAGCCAAAGCTTTGGGTTTGTTCTGGGTAAAATTGAGGTTGTTGTTTCGACATGAGGCTCAAACTGCTTATATGTAGTAGAGACGGGGCAAGTGTAAAGGATTACCCATATGACGCCACCTCACTTTTTCCATTACCTGTTTAAAAAGTATAGTGCTTGCGGGTTGGCTTAAATTCAGTGTGAATGGCTTTAATTGGCATGGACATGGAAAACTTTTTTATTTATTATAGTATATTTGTATATTATTATTTAAATTTTTTTTAATATTGATCAATTTTAATATAAAATATTGAATAAGTAGGTATTGTAGGATAAAAGATGGAAAAATTATCCTATGAACTAAGATGAAGTTTTTAAGCTTCACAAATAGAATTAAAAGAAATGTTCTATTATGATATATTCATGAATATTATAAATTTATTAATAATTAAACCAGAATTAGTGTCATAGTTTTGTGATAACCAATATACATGGTTTTTTATAGCATTGTTATTTTTTTTTAATTTTTTACTTTGGCAATGGTTTATCTTAGAAGAATAAGTCCATATTTTATGTCAAATTGTTGATAAAATGATCTCATTTCTTTATTTGTCTAGTATCTTTACTTTTCTAATTGCTTTTGCAAGATAAGAATATTTCTCGAATATGGTTTCTTGCCTTTTCTCTCAATAATGTATGAAAACCAACTAAGAGTTTTTCTTTTTAAAGTGATTGATTATTATCTGTTCTTTGTATGACTCTAGTCTTAAAACCATCTTAACACAATTTGAAATCTACTGGTTTTTGCATTTTATATTTAATAATCATTATGCATTTTTTTTTTGAAAAACAAGAGATAGCTTCCATTGATCAATGAGGGATTAAAGGGTTCCCCTAAAAAGAACAAAAGTTATGTCCAAAAGGCCGGTGAAGGATGATATGCCCTTAAGCAAAGACCAGCATATCTTCTAGAAACACCATAAAGGCAACAAAAAAAGGCACATGAGGACATCAAACCAAAAAAAAAAAAAACTTGG